TGCTCCATCGCAAGGGGACAGGCGGACCGAGCAGGAGGCGAGGGGGCCGAGGGAGGGGCAGGAGGCAGTGTACACCGCCCGGCGCACACGGACGCGGGGTGGGGGGGGGGGAATGCAAGTGCAAGCCCAGCGACAGCAGGCGGCGTCTACTTCCACTCCCGGGAAGCAGGTGGCACTCAGAGGGACCTGCACCCCTTGCCGGAGGGAAGACCCGCCTCACTCCTCAGCCTGGTGGCCGGTCACTCACCCCTGTCACCGGGTCGGAGGGAGCTTGTCCGGCTGACGCCCACGCCGGGCTCCAGCGGACACCACCTCCACCCGCAGCACCCAGGGCGCCTTTGCCCCCATGACCTAAAGGCCAGACCTCAGTGGGGAGCAGGGTCCCGTCCGCGCCCCCTGCGGACAGACGCAGGCCCAGTCTGTGCTGTGCATGCGGGTGACACACAGTGTCATAGTCTCTCTACATGGACCCGGGCATCACTGCGCCAACCGGGGACACTGAGCTCAGGGTGTCGTGGAGCTGCTGACGTGGCGCTCAATTCTGATTTTAAAAGACTCTGAGACCATGCCGCAGGCTCTTACTCGGCCCGAAGGAAGGGACAGAGGTCCAGGGCAGTGCTCTGACCGGAAGGAGGCTGACCCCCTTCCCCTCCCCAGACGCCCGGGTCTCTGGGAGCGCAGGATGGGTCCCTCTGCCCCTCGGGCTCTCCGGCGTCAGCCGCAGCCCGGGGGGTCTTCTCGCACGATTCCCAGGGAGCCTGAGCACCAGCGACCGGGGCGTGAGCAGTGTCCCTGAGCTTCAGGGCCCAGCCTGGCCGGGGACCCTCTGCCCCGCACCTGTGTCTGCAGCTGGGAGCTCCGTCTCCACTTCAGCAGCCCCCCAAGTCACCGTGTCTTCACTGGGGAAGTTCAGACCGGGCCGAAGGGGAAGCTGCCCCTGAAGTCTCCCTAGCGGCCGGCTGGGGGTGGAAGCGGCGCTGCTAAGGCGGAGAGGATGAGCGAGCTCCACTTCCAGCCTGGAGCGTGCAGACCAAGGGCGAGTCTGGAAGCCGCCCGCTCCCCAGGCCTGGTCTCTGGGTCCCCAGCACCGCCCTCTCGGGGCTGTTTTAGGCCCCAGGAGAAGGGGGCACTGGGCAGGGAAGGGCCGGCGGCGGCCCAGCCTCACCCAGCGTGCCCTGCGGGGACTCGGGCTATCATCTTTAATTAATGTGGGAGGGACGTGAGGCCAGCGGTCGTCCCGTGGTGAGCGCGGCCCGGGGGAGAAACTCGACCTGCCGCCCGACGGGCCCACTGCTGGCACGGGGTCCTGCGAACAGGAGGCCCCATCTGGAGCGGTGACAGAGGGCAGTGAAGTGGCCCCTGGATGTTGCATTTAAGAGGACAGAACACAGGGCACTCCGTCCATAGTGTCATCTCCTTCTGCGTCCCTGCCTCCCACCCCAGACTGTGTTTCGCCAACAGGCCCCTCCCACAGGGCTGCCCACCCGTCTCTGGGGTAAAACAGCTTCCAGAAGCACAACAGGCTGAGCTAGGGAACCGGTAAACATACATCCTCCGCTGTACCCCACACTCGCCGGCGTCAGCGTGATACAGGCACCCTGTGGGCGGCGGGGGATGACAAGAAGAGACCACCGAGACCGCAGGGTCACACGGAGCCATCACAGGTACGTGCCCGGGGCCCGGCAGGCGTCGGGGAGCAGAGAATTAAAGGAACTCCTCCCAAGTCAGAGCAACACGGAGTAAACTCCCAGCGGACTCGGAACGCCCACCCCCCGGTCCTGCGGCCTGGAGCAAGCTGCCTTCCTCCTGCACTCCGCCCCGTGGACCGAAGTAGGTCTGTTTATCTGAGACTCCACCCGTGGAGGGAAAAAAAATCCCAATTCTAGAAATCTCGTTTAGCTGCAGGAACCATATGGCTCCCTTCAATTCTGCAGAGAGAGAGGACTCACGGTAGAACCCCTGTCCGGTCTGAGCAGCGGCGTCCGTGTGAAGTGTGGTCCGAAAACACCAGCCCGCCTCTGTGAAGGGCCCCCTTCGGGTCCCCAGGTCCGCCGTCCACAAGTCCGTCCCAGGAGCCGCTCTTTCCGAACGCCCGTGAAGACAGGCCCCAGAGCGCCCGGCCGGCCCGTGGCACAGGCATCTCCCAGGCTGCGAGCCGGAGGCCCCGGGAGAGAGGGCTGGGGGGTGGGGGGGGGGGGCTGCTTCCCCGACTCTCCTCGGGGTTAGGGGTGGGGGGTGCCAGGACACAGCCACGTGGGGCCGGAAGTTAGGGCAGGGCTGAGCTGGCCGGCCGGCGGTGGGGAGGCGCTGCCGCAGAGCACTGCAGACACCCTCGGAGTGATGAGGAACTGAACCGCTTGATTTTATTTCATTTTAATCAAGTTTAAACAACCACATGTCGCTCGCAGAGCCAGCGCAGGGCGGACGAGTGCTGGCCTAGAAGACAAAGAAGCAGCCCCCCGGGGCCAACAGAACAGCTCAGAGGGGCCCAGGGCATCTGTCCCGTCCCCCAGGAGCTACGGGGAAAGCCCAGGTAACTCCCCTTCTCAACTGCTTCGGCGCTGAGAGCGCTCTGGCTCGCCCCGACAGACGGACGGTGAGGGCAGGTGACACGCGATGGGGCAGGTGACACGCGGTTAGGCAGTGGTGAGGCTGCTGCGCTCCCGCTGTGAACAATGAGAACTTAACGCTGAAAGAGTTACTCTGCATTCTTAAACACCTCTAAACTGAAACGTACACTTTGGACCACATGTTCACAGCCCAGGATGGTTTAAACTGCTTGAAGATTTTTATCTTTGTTGCTACTGTTGTTGCTCTCCTTTGACCTGATGGGTGTGGGGGGGCGGGGTGCGGGAACCACCTGTAAACAGAATTCCAAGTGCTCTGACTGGACAGAAGTTCATTCCAGTGTGACTGCGGGGGGGTGCTGCCTGAGCTGCTCTGTACAAACACAAGTTCAAGCATCCAGAACAAGCTCAAAATGCGTTAGCCTGGCTTATGGCATCTGTCTCGTCTGCATTCCTAAAAGTCGCACCCCTGGGCACCCTGGACGACCACGGGCTGTGGGCACAGGCCTCTGGCCCTGTGCTTGCCTCACCCCGGCTTCCGATGGCAGCCCGACCTGGAGACGTGTCGTCTGGGGACACGGCCCCCTGTACACGGCGCGCCAAGGCCACCGCACAGAGAGCCCGCGTGGATGCCAACCGGCCGTGTTTCTGAGATGCCTAAAGACTGCGTCTCGCGCCCCTGAAGTTGTCTAAACGACATGCAACGGTGCTGAAAAAGGAAGTTTCTCGGATCCCAAGCCACAGGGGACAACTCTAGTTTTAGGATCAAAAACTAAATAAACCACATGGTTTAATACCTCACATGAAGACTACTACTGCTGGGAAGTCAAAACAGACCTTAGAACAAACACCGTGCCTGTCCCACAAACAGCGTCCAGAGCAGGGCACTCCCCGAGTGCGCGGTCTGAGTGACGGGGAGACCAGGGCGGGCGCGCCCAGTCACCTGTGCCCAGGCCAGGCCGCAGGTGTCCGCACCTGGCTCCGCCCTTTCACTATTTACCAACAAGCTGCCTGAGTCCACCTAAGCACGTGAAAAGGCCACGGGCAGGGGTGCGGTGCGGGTGCGGATGGACCTAACACGATGGACTTTAAACGCAAGGTCCTGCATTTGAGGCCCAGAGTCAGCCCGGCCAGTACCAGCCAAAACGTCAAGGATTCCTAACAATTTATGGGGGGGGCGGGGGGAGGCATAGGGAACGCAGGAGCAGGTTCGGCGCAAGCCGACAGAGAGACGGCTGCTCGGGTAGCTGGGTCACCCTCAGACTGCCTCCCCCAAACATTAACCGCCGAGAAGGTGATGACAGCCTGCCGCCACCCGAGCCGCGGATACTTCAGGGCTCCGCCGCCGGGACCAGACCGCTCCAGGTGCCCCAGGCCCCGCCCCTCCGCGTGAGTCAGGCCGAGTCACCCACTGGGAAGGGGAAGGAAGCCAGACCGCCGGCTCCGGAGGGCTAAAGCGCCGACAGAGGATGAGGTATATAGTCTAGTTTTGTGTGGCTCCAGGGGACGGAACGAGAAGCAAGAGCCGAATCTCTCTGTTCAATACAAGTGCGAATAAGCCCGGATCAGGGCTGCTCCACGCTGGGCGGGGCGGGGGGGTCAGACTCGGTGACTCCCTCTACTCCCCACCCCCCAGCACTGAGCAGACACTGGCGCTGGCAGGACCACAACCCCCACCCCACCCCCAGCTCTCCCACTCCCAGCACCCCATCCAATTGCAAACCACCCCTCGGATTCCTGAAGTAAAGCGCTCATCTGCGATTTCCAGGGCTTCAACAGCAGTCAGGGGCACCAGCCATCACTAGCAAAACGAGCTCTAACCCTGGACAGCTTCTGGCGTCTCACTCGACACCGGAAACAGTGCCCTCAGACCCGACATTCGGCATCTATACCTTCTGGGTAGTTTTCCACACCGTTTCCCTACACAATCTTCTAAAGTTCAGCCTTAACAGACTGCAAAATCAAAACGACTGAACTTAAACAGATTTTCTTAAAACTTCCTGAAATTCTACAAAGGCTGCAAGCAAGAAGGATGGGCAGGAGGTTCTCGGGCTGCCCCAGCTGGCGCCTGGGAGAACCGGTCCGGGTTCCTCTCGACCCACGCAGGGGCGGAGGGGGTGCAGCGCGAGGGCAGACTCACCTGTAGTGGCCGGTGGCCACTCTTCCCACTCTTCCCAGGCTTCCTGAAACCCATCACTAAGTGACAATGCAGTCTTCCCAACACACGCCTGACGTGGTTTGGGCCCCCTCTAATTGTACCCTAGACGCAGATTACAGATCCCAGAGGCGCAAGGCCAAGTACTCAAACTCCAGCATGATGTCATAGAAAGCGCCGGTCTGAGAGAGATTAACAGCATTTCTGCCAAAGCCGCCACCGCCCCCTCCCACTCCCCCAAGGCACTCCGCACCATCGGCTGCAAAAGCCGGCTTTACCTTTCTGCACGTGGATGATGTCCGGGAAGTTGGCCAGGTGGCCCTGGTACAGCGCTAACAGGTCCATGACGGGGTCCAGGTCCTGCCTGGGCTGCTCCGCGAAGAGCTCGCCAATGGCGTCGTAGGCGTCTCCGGTGAAGGCGATGGCCTGGTTCAGGCCGGCGGAGAAGGCCTGCTGGTCCAGCTCGAAGGCCTGGCTGAGGCCGCGCAGAGACTGGCCCACCTTCTGGTACTCCTTCTTGAAGCCCGTCACCTGCTTGCGCGCGAACTCGGTGGCCGTGTGGTTGAGCTGCAGCGCGCTGTCGTCCATCTTCTTGGTGAAGCTCTTGAAGCCGTCGATGCGGCTCTCCACCTCCTGCAGGTCCAGCGCGGCGGCGGGCGGCGTGCTCAGCGTCAGGAAGAAGTTGGCGCCCACCATCTCGTCCCTCTCGGCCTTCCTCTTGCCCTGCTTCCAGGCCTTCTCGTCGGTGCCGCTGGGGCAGGTCAGGAAGTGCTGGAAGACGTCGCACTGCGCCAGCACCGGGTGGCTGGTCATGTGGTTCATCCACCAGATGAGGCCCTTCCTGCGCTTGGAGATGAAGTCCTCCTCAAAGCGGCCGGTGGCCTGCTTCTCGGGCAGGTGGGGCACCGAGATGACGGGGAACTTCTCGGCCAAGCGCGCGTACAGCCAGTCGAAGTGCTTGTAGCGCCGGTGCACCGGCACCTGCGTGTGCGTGGGCACCAGCTTGTAGGAGATGTAGCTCTTCATGCCCTTGAACTTGGTCTGCTTGGTGGGGTCGTCGATGGTGCACTGGAAGGGGTAGGGGTTCTCCTGCCACTCGGGACCGTAGGGCCCCAGCACCACACACAGCTTGTCCCCGTCCTTGACGAAGCCTGAGGCCTCGCCCAGCACGAAGGCCTCCCCGCCCGACTTGACGAAGGTGGAGAAGCGGTTCAGGTTGCGGCTCACGGTGGCCGAGCTCTTGGCCCCCGACGGCTGGTGCTGCGCGGGCGCCGGGCCGCCGCGGGAGCCCAGCGACAGGTCGGAGCGCGTGGACAGGCGGTAGCGGCCGGCGCCCCCCGCCGACGACGAGCCGTCCAGGTCCGGGTAGGCGCCGCTGCCCAGCGCGCCGGGCTCGTCCGCCACCGTGGAGGTGTCGTCCCACTCATCGTCCCAGTCGTCGTCGCTGCCCTGGCCGGGCTGGTAGCCGCCGCCGCCGTAGAGCTGCTGGGGTGACGGCTGTAGGGCGCCCCCCGGGTACGGGAGGCCCGCGCCGGGGGGCGGCTGGAAGGCGCCCAGCGGCGCGGCCGGCAGCGGCTCGAGGCCGCCGGGCGGCACGTTGGCGTAGCGGGCCGGGGCGCCGGGGCCGCCGTCCGGCGCGGGGACCGGCTCGGGCGCGCGGATCACCTGCACGTAGGAGGCCGGGAAGAGCCCGCGGTCGCCGCGGCTGTTGACGCCCTCGAGCCAGCCCTCGATGTCCTGCTCGCTGCACAGGCTCAGCACCTCGTGCTCCCGCAGCGAGATCTCGCCCGGGTTCTCCGACCGGAAGTCGTACAGCGCCCGGGCGCGCAGCGCCATGGTCCCGGCCTGAGCCGCCCGGCCGCCGAGGGCCCGCGCAGGGAGCCCGAGGCCGCGCGCTGCGCCCCGCCCGCCGGTCGCGCCCTCCTCCCGCTCCGCGCGCCGCCGTCTGCGAGCCGAGCTGCCGCCGGGGGGGCGGGGCCCGCGGCCGCCCACGTCCCCAGCCGCGCCAATCGACCGCCGAGAGCCGCGCGCCAGGCCAGAGCAAGCGACGTCCGAGCCGTCGCCCGGCTCCGGCCCGGCCCGCGCCGCCGCTGCCCCCTCGTGGCCAGTGCCAGTACAGCGGGCGCCGCGGTGACTGGTGGGTGCAGGTGGCTGCTCAGTAGTGGATGGGCTCCGACTTCTTTGCGCTTTGAAGTGGGAAAGCGTCTCCTGGAACGGAAGTGAACACGGTGTTTGAATCCTCGGTAAACGCTCCCACTCCGAGCGCTCGGGGGCTGGTGAAGGGCTGTCACGCGCCACAGCGATTGCGCTGTGAAGACACGGGACGCCTTGCGGGGCGCGGACGAGCAGCGCCCTCCCGGCTGCCGGCGCGGGGCGGGGAAGACCGGAGCGCAGCCCGGAGGGAGCTGCGGGTGACACCGCGCGGCACTGCGCAGTCTGCGGCACTCTGAGCGCACGTGTCCCCGCTCCTCCCCGAAATGTGCGTCGCGCAGTGAGTGACAGCCTGGGCTGCCCTTGAATGCACCTGCTGACCACACCCACCTGGGTGGCGGCGAGTGAGCCACGCACTGTCCCTACCTTCTAGAGCAAAGCCGAGTAACCCCCGTTTTACAGACGAGGGAAAGGAAACGGGGACGTGAGTATATGGCAGTCTACCGGGGGGACCCCGTGTACGGGTTTGCTGCTGCTGCTGCTGCTGGTACTTGGAAAGCAAACACCCTGCCCGCCTTCACAAGGAAAATGTGGGTCCCGGTTCCCAGCCAGGGGTGTGTGCACCGGGACAGCTCCCGGGGTCACGCCCCGCCCCGCCCCTCTGAGATCAGTGGGCGTTCTCCAGTGCGCGCGTGCTCGCGCACTCTCTCCCTCTCTGTCTCTCTCTCTCTCACACACACTGTATTTGTAACATTTTAAAGATAAGTCGATTTAAAAATCGCTGCCTGAAATAGTAATCAACTCCAACTCTTGCAGTCACTTTGTTTCACATCTTTTTTTTTTTTTTTCCTTTCTGTGTGTCATTTGCCGGAAGCCTTTCTTCTCATAATCTTCTCTTATTGAGTCTGCCTAATTATTCCTTTGAAGACGCCTCTCATTGGCATTCAGCGTTCATATGTCATTAATTTCAGCCTGTCTTCTGACCCTTTTCAAGCCAGTCTGGGAAACACGCCAGAAGAGCACGCAGTTTTTGTAAGGGCCATGGTATTCCAAGCATCCTGCACAAAACCACCAGCCCAGGATACCAGGGCTGCTCCCACGGTGTTTATTTATAATGCAAAACCTCAATTCAGTTCAGTAAGCAAATTCGAAACGACAACATCTTCAGCTGGAAATCCTGGGCTGCGGCTCTCCTCGCAGCAAGCAGCAGAGGCCACTGGATTTCACTGTCAACAACACATGTGGCCAGAAACATGAAGCTGACATTTACAAAACATCTACAACATGCTCTACGGACTAACTCATGAGCAGCTACGATATTTAAGATCCATGCATTCAGTTTCCCCCTTACTGTTCATCTGGTAGATTCTTCTTAGGCCCAGGAGTTTATTAACATGACATAAAACTGGCAGTGTGTCAGGCTCTGGCACAGGGAGGCTGACACCCCCTTTCAGGTGTGAGGATTCCGGGCGTTCTGGGGCAAAGACGTGCACAGATGCGCTGGGCCACTCCGCAGGAGCGAAGAGCACGGACTAGCGGGTGTCAGGTGGTGTCTGGCCCCGGCACCCGGGCACGTGTCCGGCCTCTGGAGTCTGGTGGGAGGCCAGGCGACAGGCTTTGTGAAAGGACCGGGGACGGACTATGGAAGGTGCCTGGACCTGTGGGGCCCGAGGGACAGGGAAAACCTTACCCCACAGGGTCCGGGATGTCTATAAAATGTATTCAGGCGTTAGAAACTGGTGACTGGTCGCTCAGGGAAGGAGATGCAGTAATGTACTTTTAAAGGATTTCTCTAGAAAAATGGAGCGTGTTCCTCAAAATGCAGTTCACATAGTCATCATTATAGCGGTCAGCTCTTTCTATCTTTTACACTTTTGTAAAAAGAAGTTATCAGGGGACCCGAGATGGCCGTGAACAACCGTAGTTTCTCACCTCTTCCCTTAGCATTTGGCGGCCTGGCCTCTCTGTTCTCCTCCACGGGAGAGCAGCCACAGCAGTTTCTTTGCTATTTCTGGAACAGGCCCGGCATATTTGTGACTTGGGTTTCTTTTATAAATTTTTTTAGAGAAGTTTTAGGTTGAGCAGAAGGTAGAGAGATGTTTTAGATAGACCTGCACCCCAGCCATGCAAAGCCCACCACTGCCAACACCGCACTACCAGAGTGGTGCATTAGTTGTAACTGATGAACCTATGTTGGGAACCACCTTGCTTGGTTAAAGGAGCTGTAAATGCCCCCCGCCCCCAACACCCCGAGGCTAAAGCTGAGTGAGCGAACTTGGGACCATAAGCCACTAAGGAGACAAAGCTTATCTCCCTGGCAGGAGCACTGCCTCTGCTCCTTTTACTTCACCCTGCCTGGCCCCCAATGCTTGACCGGTTAGTCAATGATGGGGAAGATTCCTCAAAAGAGGGATTACCTAACACAGGCATGATCACAGGGGACCCCGGGGAAGGACTTGGGGGGCTATGGAGAAAGGGGGTGATGGACCCTCGCCCCTCAGCTTTGACATAGCCTGAGGCCTCATTCTGTCTGGGAGAAGTCTCCTGATCTCTTGGCTGCCTCACTTCCCCTGCCTGACTGAAGCCTGAAACAATGCCTTAACCCTGAAACAATGCCTTAAGCCTGAAGCAATGCTGGGGGTGGGGGCCACCCTGTGCTGGAAAGGGTAGGCTCCCTAGGGCAATCAGGCCTAAGAAAGAATACATAAAATCTACGAAACCTGCTTTGCTAACACCCTCAATTTAAATGATAAGAGGCTAAGCAGAAAGTGAGTTTGTTCCTCAAAGTTTTATGGTCCTTTAGCTAACTGGCCCTGACTCAAAATAGGCCCTCAGAGTTCTTTGAATGTTGTCTATGGTTTAATCATTTCTGCCTGACAATGATTGATGAGCTTTTCATTTACACCCTGTACTCCTGTGCAAATCGAACCTAATCAAAGCTTGTCAGGGCAAGGGCCAAGGTGCTCTCCCTTTGAGAGAGAAACTGAGCCTTCCCTTTTCCTCCATAGTCCTTGTGAATCTGTCTCGTGTCTCATCCATAATGCTGCGGACACTGTGGGACGGTTTCCACGTCAACCCTATGCTGACACATGCTTAGCATCCAGACCCCAGAGCGGATGGCAGGCCCCCTCTTGGTGCTGTGCACTCTGTGGGTTCGGACAAACGCATGACCTGTGTCTGCCGTCACAGTATCGCCTCCTTGTGTGAGTTTTGGGATATTGCTTTCAAGGAATTGCTTCATTTCACCTAGCTTATCTCATTTGTAGGTATCAAGTTGTTTATAACAGTCCTTTATTATTCTTCTAATGCCCACGGGACCTGTAGTTGTATCCCCTCTTTCATTCCTGATACTAATAATTTGTGTCCTCTCTCTTCGTCTTAGCCTGGCTAGGGACCTGTGGGTTTTATGGATCTTTCCAAAGAGCCAGCTTTTGATCGTATTGATTATTCTTTATTGATTATCTGATTTCCCTGAGTCCCACATCGCACACTTTGATGTCGTCTTTTAGTTCAGTCCAAAATATATCTTTTCATTTCTCTTGAGATTTCTTCTTTGACTTATGTGTTATTTAGACGTGTGCTGTTTAATGTCCATACATTTTGGGACTTGGGGCCTATTTTTCTCTTAATTGGTTTCTAATGTCGTTCCCTTTGGTCTAAGAACAGACGTTGTATGATTTCTATTATTTTAAATGTGTCATGGTGCGTTTTATGACCCAGAATGTGGTCGGTTTCTATGAACAGTGCACGGGAGCTTCAGAGACCCGCGTGTCTGGCGGTTGGAGAAAGTAGTCTGCACACGCGCGTTCTGCACAGTGAGTTGCACACGTGCGAGTTCCCCAGCTCGAGCGCTGACCCTCTGCTGCTGCTCCGCCCACTTCTGACCGGCAGCTGCTGAGGCCTCGGACCCGGGAGCAGACTCTGAAGCCCCCAACCAGGGAGCAGATGCGTCCCTCTCTCCCTGCGGTTCCACGCGGTGCTGCGTGAGCTTACGCGTTCCGTCTCCAGGGAGAACAGGCCCCTTGTCTTCGGGCATGTCTTTCTTTCTCGCCGGGGACGTTCTTCACGCTGAAGTCAGCTCTTCTCGAAATGAATGTGTCTACCGTTGCTTTCTTTTGGTTAGCGTTAGCTGGCATAATAGTATCTTTCGCCATACATTTATTTTTAGCTTATACGTGTGTTTATATTTCAGGCGGGTTTCTTGTAGGTAGCCTAGAGTCGGGTCTTGTTTGGGGGTTCAGTTTGACAATTTGTATCTTTTAATGGGTACATTTATGCCATTGATATTCAAAGTAATTATTGATGAAGTAATTACTGATATTTGCCATACTCGTTACTGCTTTACGATGTCTTGATTTCCATTTTTGTCTTCCACTCTTTTTCTGCCTCTTTAAATTTTCATTGAGCATTGTGTTATTTCATTTTTTTCTCCTTTCTTCACATACCGGTTCTACTCTTTTTTAGTGCTTGCTCTAGAGTTTGCAACCTGTATTTACAGCAAATCCGAGTTCTTGTTCAAAGATAAAATGATAAAATAAAATAAGGCTAATCATACCAAATGGGATTTTTGAAAACTCTTTTCAGCAGAGGATATAATCTGTGAATGAAATTTCTTTTAATTACATAATGGATATTTATGACTTCAGACATAACAAAACCTATCATTTAAAAAGATAAAACAAAGAACACTAATTGCTCCACAGGTAGTGTGAGTTCCTTATAGTAACAAAGTAACACTAGTCCCCCATCCCGGGGATCATTGCTTTCATCCATTTCACTTATACACAGGCCACATAAGCACAGACACGCATGTATGCATG